AAAGATTCCAGGTTTAAAAAATATATATTAGTGGTGGTTTGCTCCTCTGTGTGTGTGTGGGGGGGGCATTAAATATACACACAATACAGTTTATTTTTGTGCCACTTCACTTTGTAACCTTAGACACAGGGAAAGCAAAATTTCATCAAATATAAAGCATGTAAGTAAATATGCTTTAAACTGGTAATTTTTTTTAATTCAAAATATATATTAACAAAAGTTAGGGAACAATTCAAATAACATATTAAAACAAAACCACTATATTATTTAAAAAGTTGTTTTATAGGCATATATTAATAAGATTGACAAGACCTATATCAACTTTAAAAATTTACTTGGCAATGTCTAAAGTAAAATTTTGACTCCAAATATAAAATGAAAAAAAAAAGACAAAAAATTACATCATAAAATAATTTCAATTATAGAATTGAAATTAATCATTTGAAGTGTAAAATATAAGTAGATACTTTTAAACATTTAATAAAAAAGTTAATGGATCAACAGACTGTGGTACAGCCATGTAATGAAATATTATTTAGCAATAAAAAGAAATAAGCTATCAAGCTGTAAAAGACATGGAAGAACCTTAAATGCATATTACTAAGTGAAAGATACCAGTCTGAAAAGGTTATATATGGTATGATTCCAACAATATAACATTTTGGAAAAGGGAAAACTATGGAGACTAAAAAGAACTATGGTTGCCATTGGCTCAGGGTAATATGGGAGCAATGAATAGGTGGAGAACAGAACATTTTTAAGGCAGTGAAACTATTCTGTAAGAACTGTGATTGTGGGTCATAACACTATGCATTTATCAAAACCTATGAAAGAATACAAAAACCAAATCCTAATGTAATCTATAGATTTTAGCTACTAATAATGTATCAATAATGGTTCATCAATTGTAACAGACATACACTAATGGAAGCAGTTAATAATAAGGAAAACTGTGTGTGTGAGAAGGTAGGATGAGAGAGGGTGTGTGGAAATTCTACTTTCTGCGCAATTTTTCTATAAGCCTTAAATCTCTCTAAAAAGTCTATTAATTTTAAAAAAATAACAACAGGTCATTTAACTATATACTCAGTAGGATTTAATATGTTATGTTGATTAATTAATTAAAACTTGGTTGTTACTATTAATAGTAAAACACATAAAACTTATCAAACATTATCAAAAATAAGCAGTCTCTAATTGCATACCAAATATATTTTTTAAATATATTTTTTAATATATTTTTTATTATACCAAATATATTTTTTAAACCCATTTAAACAATCCTCAGGATTATCTTACAGCAGTAAAGATGAAGATTTATTTATACGTAATAGCATTCTCAATAAATAAGATCTAACTTCATTACAAGTCTATTAATAATAATTTTGAAATCTAATCAAAATGTTGTTTATTAAAGATGTTTGTAATGATAGATGTGGTATTTCCCCAATAAATTTTATATTATTAAAGACTGAGCAGGAAAGAAAAGAGCCTGATTGAATAAGTCAAGAACTTCTTATCTCTGTAGACACGTTATGATTTAATGAAAATAGATTTAGTAATTGATTTTTTGTTTTAAAGAATAAAGTAATCTTGTATTAGAAAACATCAGTGGTCAAAATTGTTTAAAAATCTATTTCAGCAAAATAAAAATAAATAAGTAAATTGTTATTTATCACATGAATAGTACAAAGGAAACAGCTCACTTCATTCTTACAGGGTCAGCAAAGGCTTTAACAAAAAATTACACTGGTGTTAGTCCTGAAGAAATAGTCTGAGATGACAAAGGTCTGAATTGGGAGGGTGGCAGCAGCAGGAAAAGGAAAAAATCATAGTATTAGCTTGCATTAAATGTATTCATTATGGGCCAAGACTGAATTATAATCTTTTTCCATATTACTTCAATTAACCCTCATAATAGCTCTACCAGATTTGTAGTCTAATTTCCTTTTTACAGATAAGAAAAAGAAAAAAGAAAAAAACGGAAACATGAGAGTTTAAGTATAGATCTGAAGGTGACTTAACCATACTCATTTCCTACTACTTTTCTTGTATAATCATTCATATATGCAGCATAACCATTTTTTCTGCTAAACCATTTCTGTATTTCCTTGCCCAAAACAATCTTCCCTTTACTCCATTATACAAATTATATAAGAGACATCTCTGGTTCTTTTTCTTCTGTGAAGCTTTTTCTGAACATTCTATAAACATTAGTATCTCCTAAGTGAATTTTTATAGCACTTGTAAACTTGTAAACTTAATTGAACATGTAACAATACTTTTTGTCCTATTTCTGATTTTTACACATGTAAGTCAACTAATATATTAACAGAGTTCTGAATGCACATTTGTTGTAATTGTATTATTTCTGTTCCCATGAGAGTATAAGCACTTTGAAACCCTCAGGTATTCACTTCGATCAAAGCACATAGCTCTGAACTGAGGGAATGGTAAAGTAGTCCTCCCTGGAAATTTTACAAAGATGCCTGGACATCACCTACCTCATTAATTGAATAAGTATGAACTTAATATTCTCTCATTCTATGTGAAATTCTTCCAAATTGTCTTATTTAGCCCTTTGATCATAATCAATCTAATATCCTTAGGGCATTGGACAAAATTTGACACCAAAGAACTGCTTAGTAATTGCTGAACATAGTTTGAATTTAACTTACTAAAGTTTTCAAAGAAAATCACTCAGAGAATTTTAAAAGTGAATTTTTCTGATCTAACTGTAGAAATAAGATTTATTTTTACATTAATATAATTACTGGTGAACTAACCATCTTTTATAATTCTTTTTATGGAATTATATAGCTAGTAGCAATCCTTTGATTAAAGTCTCATAAAACAGTGGTAACATTATTTTTAGTCTAATACCCAATTATCTAATACAAAAAATAGATAACAAAGCATATCTTCATGAATGACATGACTTTGAATTTTATTATGTTGAGACACACTTATGAAGTCCTAGTAACCAAAGAACGTAATAATGTTATTTTATAATTTTATGATATGGTCAGTGAAACTTCTTATGCAACCCTCTTAAAGTTCTTGCAATTTAACAACAAAAAAAAGCTCTAAATATTGTTTTCTTTTCCACAATATTATAAAATGCATAGTAAGTTGGTCAAACAATTAAAGTAGTAAGTGTTATGAATAAATTGGAAACATTTTAACTGTTTTAGCTAAGACATTTAAGCAAATTAATTATGCATATCAATGTAACTTATAAGTGAGATTG